CAAACATGCCTTTTCTTGGTTGATATGAATAAAGGCGTATATGATCATAGGAACCAAAAACACATTCTTGACCTATAATAAACAACATTTTTAAATACAATTTTCTCTTCTTCTATGAATCTACGATCATTCAAGAAAGCATATCGTCTCTTGTAGAAATGATATATTTCTCAATCTATTCGCATAGAAGATAAACTCATTGTTTGATGTCTCTATTAGTTCCATCTGCATCCTTTGTTAAATAGATGTAAACAACAAGACATGGACTATTTTACCATCGTCCTATCACGTCATAGATTTATAACTCCTATGTTTGTTTTTATATAGTTTGACATTCTCTTTTATCTATTTCAAACATTTTGTTAAATAGAATAGATTTCGAATAAACACCAATATCTTACCTGTTGGATTACAAATTCCAGTACTAAATTCACGTTCATTTGGTTCTCGACTATAATCAAATTGTTGTAAAATTTTACCATCTTTACTATAAACGACAACACGTCGATCACATCCTCCAACAAGTATACCATGTGTACTCCAAACAAGTGCACATGGAGGACATGAGTGTCGTACAACTAAACCTGATTTATCACCTGTACCTTCATCTTCAATTATAAATCGACAAATACTTCCATCCGCATGACCTGATAATATAGCTTTACGTGAAACATTTGCTGTTAATGCTACAGTATATTGTTCAGCTGTAAATAATGTATGAGATTTATTTTTTTTGACATTTCCTGAACGTATTTTTCCATCGGATAAACCAAATATAATTTGTCCATCAGGTAACCATATTAATGATGTAACATGAGCTGATTGTACAAATTTAGCTACAATAGATTTTTTTTCATTCCAATCAACACCTAATTTATATACAAATACAATATTATCCGATTGTGCTACAGCTAATTGAGTGCTTTCAGGTGAAAAATCCATTGCTGTAACAACATAAGATTGTCGACCATATTTAGAATCTATTGGTTTTGTTGCAAAACGATCACGTAATTCACCTGTTTCATCATATAATTGTACAACACGATCAATACATATAGCTAATTTTTGACCATTTGGTGAAAAACACACAGCTGAAATTTGTGCTTCACCATTCACTGAATCAGATATTTGTTTAAGAAATTTTACTTGCATTTTAATTAAGCTCTAAAATAATTCAAAAAAAATTATTTTCAAATGGAGATAACAAATTCAAAGATCTCAACAAAAAAAGTATATATAGATTTAAAAAAAAAGAATGTTGATTGCACTCTTATTATGAATATTAATATAGTTTATCATTGAAAATTAGAAGAACTATTCTTCTTTTCTCTTTCTTTGCACTCGTTTAACATCGAAAATTGATTATATAAAATTCTAGAATCACAATTGAATTGCTTCATCCGTTTCATGTTTTCTTTTGTTGTCAAGCAATGAACTCCAAAAGCAATGTGCGCGTCTATTACTATTTGTTCTCGTTTAGCCAATGATGACATTGAATGAATCATCAACAGAAAGAAAGCAAAAAAGACGCTATAATGAAATCCGAATTTCTTATTTGTTGCTGTAAATCGAAAAAGTTTTGTTTTAACTAATCGAGTGATCAAAATAAAAAAGAAGCTGTGAAGTCGCCATAATGAAATTCATAGCTAAGAGAACTTCATTGACATATATCAATACGATTTTAATAAATGTATTCATTTAGTTGCTTGGTTCTCTGTCTGATACATTATCTATCTTTAGCTGGTTTACTGTAAGAAAATGGAATGTCATATTAAAGAGTAGAAAACAGATGCTATCGATTCGTTGATGAAATTTCATTATCGCGCTTAAACGTGTATTTTCTAACAGTCGCTTCTTGACATCATCGCGACAGCTATTGACAAATTTTGATGCCTACCTCAAGAATTAAAATCTGTTGATCTTGACAATTAAATGGGATCTTATTATGGAAATATTTGTACGAATATATATTTTTAAGGGTGATAGTTTTGTTTTATCGAATTCATTGACTGAATTCAACTCATTAAGAAGATAGCATGGAATATCTGTTTCTTGAAGTTTATAAAAGATATATTTTTAATTATAGTTAGATTAATATTTTTCTATATTGGATATTATTGTTTGAATTTTTTCATGAAAATAATCTTGATTTATTTGTTTCAATAGAATACATGAAAATTCATAAAAATCTTCATCGTTATTGCAAAATAGTCATACATCAATGATTTAGCATTTTAATTTTCAAATTCCTGTATATGATCTGAAGTGATCGAGCATAGAATTATTTATGGTTTAGCTAATCTTTCAGACTTTAAAAAACCTTAGTGAAGCGTTGTCAAGTTTATAGCATGTTAGACTTTGTATTGCATTCGCTATAATGAATGAATTTAATGAAGATTCGATTCTGAATCATGTATTTAGGCAGATCAACCTCTTCTTCGTTGAGGTTTCTGGTTTTATTTCTTATTCATACATTTGTGATTTAGCTGGTGATGAAACATCAAACGATACTAGAAAACAATTGATTGAAGTTTGTCATAGTAAAACATGTAATTAATTGCATAAAAAAATTATTGTGCACGTGTTAAGCGAAAGTCAATCAACGGCCTAACAATATATATTGATGAATAGTTAGATGACATGCTAAAGATGTTTATTGAAAAGAAAACAAATCCTTATGCCGTTTTGACATAGCGTACTAACAAATTTTTCGTCTGCTTTTTTTTATTTGTCGTTGCTGCATGATTCGTTTTTGTAATGCTATGGATGAGTGTCGGAGGTGTGAGTGTAGGTTAAGAGAAGAGGCGCATCTATATTCAATCATTCTCACACCATGTTTTTTTTGTAAGTATATTAATTACTTTATATACTTCTTATGCTATAAAACCAATTCAAAATGTTTCAGCTCTTTGAAAATAAATGGTTTTCTTCCCTGATTCCAAATCTATCAATGCGAAAGATATAAAATTTAATTCTTTTTTATTCTCTCGATAGATATTCATCAAAAATGACGGACTAAAAGAATAATTGGAGGTTAGAGAAATCTCGATAAAATTTCACTGACAATAAATGATGAATAATCTGTGTAAATTTACAAAAAACAATCGAAGAGAGTCACTCCAATTTTGGAATAAGTATAAAATGGCTGAAGTTACCTAATCATTTTTACAAATCAAAATATTCTTGACACAAAACAGTTTCATCAAACTTACATGATGTCCAATCGATGACTACAGGTTAAGTAGGGTTAGACAGAAATCAAAATGATATTTATCATCTACAAAAAGAAAATAATTTTAGAAAAAAGAATCAAATCTGCACGGTCTCATATACATTTCGATGGATGTAAAACAAAATGGTCAAGGCAATGTTCTACTTTCTGATCAATTTTCTGATGGTTCACTAAGAATCTCGAAAGTTTTGAGAGACCCATGGGAGATTTAATCAGATATCCTACACAGGAAATTCTATAAATATACGATAGATATTTCATTAACCTTCAAACAGAAGTCTTTCAGTGTATTTCTTTCGAAATATGTTGTTTTTTTATATTTTCTCTTCATATTCTCATGGAATATCTCGTTGCTTTCGTTTGTAGAATAGCACAAAAGAGGGGTTCTCTAAAATATGTTTTATATAGTTCATCTATCAGTTTGGCTCATTTCAAAAAAATTGAGATATTTTTAATTTGCTTGCAGCAACTGCTTTTATATAATTAACATTGAAAAAAAACACTTGCAATCTTTAAATCTATTGCATATGATTGATAAGCAAAATTAAATATGAGACGCTTTCAGAATCTGCTCTCAATTATTCTTTTATTAATATTCTGTGAGAGGAAGATTGTAGATGAAAACATACAAGCTCTACGTACCATACTTTGCCTGGAGAACAGTCACAAGGTCGTTACATACATACGAATGTAGCTAAGTAATATTTAAATTTAAAAGATTCAATTCTGCAGTAGATGTTGATTTGAAGCACTTTTTATGATAAAGATGCCTGCTTGCAACAGGTTACATAGAATGAAAAAATTTTTGTAGCACCAATCAAAGGCATTTGCATGGTAAGAAAGATTTGCAGCAGAATATTTTTTTCTTCCATGTTATATCTCAGTAACTGTTTGCTTTTTCTTGTGTGTATTTAAAAAAATACTACACAGAAGTGTCCTTTTTCAGTTATTCTAAATAACGATACTGGAAGCAATGAAAAAAATGGTCTATGGAACAGAAACAATCTATTTTTATATTTTCAATTTGACTAAAGAGGCCACTCATAAAACAATTAACTGTATAGGAAAAGAAATTATCGATTGAAGTATTATTGTTGGTTTGCATAAGTATCGTTTTTTTCTAAATAAAACAAAAAAATACAAATGTGGATGAGTATGAATGAAATGCTGGTTTACATCCACATCCGACTGAAATAGCTAAAAAAAGTACAACAAAACTATTCTTCCACCGAACTCACATGGAAATGTACGCCTACATATCAACACATGCTCTTATCAATTGCAAATTTTTGCACACGATGATTACTAGGATCAACTACGTAAAGATTTTCTTCAATATCGAAGGATAAATTAGTGGGATTATCAAGTTGATCAGGCTCGGAATCTGGGCCATGACCACCAGCAATGATACTGCCTATTGTAGCACCACGCGGTCATCGTATTATTCGTCGATTATCAGTATCAGCCACATAAACAGTGCCCAACTGATCGACAATAACACCATTGGGAAATGCCAATTGATCTGCACCGTTGCCATGAGAACCACCAGCAGCAATCAATATTTTCTTTGTTTCGAAATTTAGTCTTAGCACTCGATGATTGGCATTGTCGGCCACATAGATCTCTCGATTTCGATCTACAAAGATGTCAAGAGAGCAGCTAGAATCTAAATTCATTACTTGTTCGTTAGTAGCACCAGGAAGCCATTTTGATACTTCGGCCCTTTCTGGAACGGATACATAGTGTTCCTTGATCATCTTGTGCTATATCATGAACAGAAATATTTTTTTATAACTGTTTGTCCACTTTGAGCGTCTCGAAACCATTTTTGAACGCGAAAATTATAACTGTCACTTATGTACAGAGTTCCATCTTGTTCAACGACAACATCAGACGGATAATACAGTTGATTACTGTGATCGTCTGCTCCATTTCCACCGGCAACTAACTGCCCACTAGTCGCATCACGAATCCATTTGACAATACGATGGTTTGCAAAATCGGCAACATAAACAGTTTGATTTTCGTCAACAAAAAGTCCAAAAGGTTGATCCAATTGGTTGAGCCCATCTCCAACACCATTACCACCAGCGACTGTAGTACCTATTCGAGCCCATGTTGCATCTGCACAAATACCATCACCAGGTTTAGGTCTCACTAAATGAACAAAATATAATTCATTTTTTGAATTCGTCCACATCGATGTGTTACTCTACAGATAAGTATGTGTCGATTATGTCTACACTACATGTTAATAAATATTAACTATGAAAATGGGTGACAACTCTAAGAAAATTGATCAGAAGAATAATCAGAGACGCATAGCATAGGAAAGAATGTAATACTTTGAAATTGTTGACTATACGCTTGTTTCAGTAATTTTCAATCGGACAAAACTTTTCTTTCATCGCAAGATCGATTTTCAGTTTTTATGCAACGAGAAATTTCACGTTCGAATTAACAATACACTCAACAACGTAGTATATCTAATAGGATCACAAGCTATGAGAAGATTTCAATAAGATTGAGAACAAGATAATAACAATAACTGACTGATCGGTTTCAAAAACCAGAACAGTCGACAGACACAATGGTGAAATCATTATAAGAAATGACGTAGCTTGTTAAAAAAAAGAAGTTATTCGTTGGCATCCGCTTTTGGTGCAACGACAGCCAAGGCCATCAAATCGAGTTTCATATGCGTCCATGACAAGAACAAATGCAAGTAAAGTCTTGTCTTCATCTGTTGACACAAACTACTTGATTACTTCTTTCATTCTCAAAAAAAAGGATGAATCGATTCAAAATATGTCCCTTTTTTGCAATTACATTGATTCATCAAAAAACTATTTTTGAAATTCTCTTCTATTTTTTTACCGGGACAGAGTCGTTTATCTGTCATCGACAATGGATAGCAAACTGGACGAACATTACATCGAGGATGATTAACACAGACATGGTCAGGCTGATAACAAGCATTAGTCGAAGGCTCACAGGAAGCCAGTTGAGAACAAGTTAACCGTAGACTACCACAAATGCCACTGCAATTCGTAGTAGACCTATGCAGACAGCCACACTGACTATTAGTTGAACAGCGACCATATTGAGCCATTCCATGACACATTTCATTGTGGACTCGAACTATATGAATAACTCAGTGAACAAATGAAAACAACAAATCGAGAACGAATACAACCTGTCTGGCTAAAACGCAAAGTAATTACATACACCAATGATTGGAAATAAGAAATTTTCATTACCTGAACAGAATAAAGAGAATATAATGGCTTGGTAATGAGATCATAGCTTGTATTCATACAACACAATGGCACCAGTTTGCTGATTTGCAGTACGCAAGTGAGGTTTTAGTCTAAAAATATATCCATACATTTTTTTCGACCTTCAGAATGTGCACAATATACCTTGATGATCAATAGAAATTCGATACTCTATGTTTCTAATCCCTAATCGAATGAAAATAAAAATGATTCTCATAGAATAGAGAAAAAAAATCAGCAAAAGATCAATATTCAATTTCAACAAGTTTGCATCGTCATTTAATTTATCATTGATTCTTGAAGGTATGAATGTGAAGCTGAGTATGAGTGTTAACATTCTTATTACCCACTTATACCTACACCCACACTCTTTGATTCTATTTTTCAGAGAATGAAAGTCACAAGTCACATGTTTGATCTGGCATTGGCATGTGCAGTGTTGTAATTGACAATCTCCATTCTTTGTCGAGTGAGTATTTCTTTCAATGAGATAACAGAATGAAAAAAACTATATCCATCACGAAAACACTTAAGGCATTTTACAATTGTTTCTCGATTAATGGGCTGGAACTCTTCAGTGATATTATTGGAATGCCATTTATACTTGTTTCATTATTTGCACACTCATCAACAATATTCTCGCCGATAGTATCTATATTGAAAGGTTGATTTAGAAAAACTCTTTGATGCAAAAATTTGCTTGTTCTACAATCGGTCTTCTTCTCATTTGGTCAAAATAACCGAAAATGTACAAATTTCATTAAGCTATATGCGCTATATAGTAGCATGATTTAAACTTTGCAGGAAACTCAACCATGCAATATGTTCTGTATGTTGAAAGAGTTCTTTTGTGAAATTCAAGCATATTTTCGAAAACAATAGTGCCTGAAAGTATAAATCGAGGTTTCGCAGGTCCCCCCTTGGGTTCACCCCATTACAGACCTTAGCAGTTCCCACATTTCTTCCAGAAGACACCAGCAACTGTAAGAGAGGGAAGCCAAAGATTATTGAATGCGTTTCCATATCAACGAAAATGGTGAATAACTAATATTAGTGCTTCTCTCATTCTGAAACTCTGTGGGTTCTAGTCATTTAGTCTAAATGCTGCGGTTTTAGGTTTTCCATGTAGCGAAACGGTTCTATTGTAGGAGTGTGATCCGGTGTGAGATGTGAGTGTGGATGTTATTTTTCTTTCTTACTTTCACACTCGCATCCACATCCTACACCCACACCTACTCATAACTTGAATATAATCACAGATTAGAAGTGAACATGCCATGTGATCATATATATCTACATGCGCTTCTAGGCAACTGAATAGAGTTTCTCATTTTCTTGTACGTTTTTTTATCTTTAATCGAATGCGTATCTGCTCGTATGTTTCTTGACTTAGTGTGACATTAATAAGTGTAAATAATTTGTAAAAAGTCACTCCAAGAAGTCTATATTGAACCGTATTGATACCATCAAGTCCAAAGTCGTATTGTGAATGAAGTATTTCGAATCGATGAGGATTCACTGGAGCCGATATGTGCTTATTTGAAAGGATCATTTTGTATCGAGCAATTTCAATAGGATATCTTATTATTGATTTTTTCAATTTGTAAACAACACGCGAATACATATCATCGTCTTCACCACCCCAACCCCAATAAACATTCGAATAGCCATTCGTGCCAAGAAAATCATCAGTGCTAAAAGCTGTAACACCACCGAAGAATTTCGGATAGATTAGTTTGTAATCAAATTTATCCATCGCTGAAGACCTAAATAAGAGATAAAATCGACAATAACCGATTGAAAGATTCACTCTTAATTACTTACATATGGCGAGGTTGATCGGTACACGTGTAAATATTTCTTATGTCTTCTGGTAACAAGTCAACATCATGAAAGATGAAGCAAGTAAATGGATAATACTTTTGTGCTTCAATAAAGCCTATATTGAATAGTTCTCCTCGATTAAACGATTCTTGCCCATGTTGATTCACAAGAAATATCGTGTAATCGAGTTGTTGCTGTTGAAGAAATGGATGTAGATTGCCGAGAAGCATTTTAAAATGTTGCTCACGATTTCGATAACAAATAATAATGGCAATGCGTTGCTCAGCTTGACATCTTGATGGAAACCAGTGACCACCAGGATGCATATCAGAGCCGTATTGAGTTTCAAGCACGTCATATGAATACAGCATTCGGCGAATGAACACGCTGTAATTCGAGGATATATTGTTAGTGTTCGTTGTGAGCACAGTTGAGCAGTTGGGCAACATAAGATATGTGTTCGAATACGGCAACGAGAAATTCATGTAAGAGAAATAGGACGCATTTAAAAATGGTGTTTGATTCTCAGTTTTTATTTTTAATGTGATATAGTAAACGATTTGCATAAAGATAATGAAACAGGTGACTCCATAGACAATTCTTCCCTTCGGAAACATAATCAATGATGAGATTGCTAGGAATTGATGTCTGAAACACATATATGTATGACTCGTCCAAATCATGTAGAACATGCAAATAACATTCATCATATATAACTCACACACGATCATCGTAAAACGATTACTTAGAATTGAGTTCATTAAAATCCCTCCAAAGATCAAGTCTCGTCAAAAATTCGATTT